ACTGGACTCGAACAGCGTCTCCACGGATGCTGCCAGAACTGCTGCGATTCTCCAGTAAATATCTATTTTTGTTTCAGATTTCAAGTATCCGCAGTTCTTTTTAATCCCAAATAGTTATGAAAAACACAAACATCATGTTGAAGTAAAAGGAACAATCAGTGATAAACGACATAAAATGAACTGGAATGAAAGACCAAAGCCCCACGGATGTAGTAAATCTGAGATAGTAGGAACGGCAGATGCTGGAGAATCTGAGATAACAAGGTGTAGAGCTGGATGAACACATGCTTGACCTGCTCTGTTCATCCAGCTGTACAATTGAACCGTTAACGTCTGCGCGAGCGGGTGTCCGGGCTGCCCCGTGCCGGTACGCATGCGCCTGTTTGGTATCGGGAATGGCGCTAACTTGGTGCAGGAGGGCGCCATAGTGATGGGATACATGCCAGCGACTCGGCCTGACTCCAGCTCGGTATGAAATCGGTGTTCAGCAGGACGATGAGCAGCGCGGTAGGACGGCTGCTGCAGGCCCGCCAAATCTTATGTGTAGCTGAGAAAAATGACGCGGCCAAAAGCATCGCGGAGATCATGTCGGGCGGCCGCTTCCGAAGGGTGAGAGGGAAAAACGCTAATTTTGAGTGAAATCCGTCGGATATAAGATGTAACACCTGTTGTCGAGGAAAAGGCTTCCTACCTATCAATATAAGTCAAAGAAATGTGGATGCTGGAGACCTGAAACAAAAACAGGAATTGCTGGAGAAACTCAGCAGGTCTGGCAGTGTCCGTGGGGTCAGAAACAGTTAACGTTTCGAGTTCAGTGAATCTTCTTCAGACTCCTAGTTTCTCCGTCAAGTTTTTGTTTTATTCCAAACTATCAATTCTGGCCCGTTACGAAGTTGAAGGTACCAACTTTGTCTAGAAACAATCCTGATTTGTACTTTTAATTCAATTGCCAGCTTTTCAAAAACCTTTTCTTTGAAATATTGTGACTCTTCACTTTACCACTAAGAATAACTTCTGAATAATTAGTAATACATAATTGCCCCTGCCATTTTGCTACATTTCGGCAATTCTATCACCTCATCTACTCTCATGTGCCATTCATTCTTCCCATGCTAGCCAAATTGTCAACTCTGACTAATTTGGTGGCATTCTTGTCTCTGAGTCTCAAGGTTCTGGGTGTGAGTCTCATTTGTCAAACAGAAAAATCAAGGCTGACAATGCCGAAGGAATCTGCACTGTTGGGAGTTTCATGTTGTCTTTTGTATGAGATATTAAACTGAAGCTCCACCTGCTTACACCGGTAGATGTATTTATAAAAAATTCTATGGCACTATTCTGAAGGGCAGTAAGTAAATTAAATTAATCCTGGTGACCTGGCCAATATTTATCCTTACACAAACATCCTCAGTGCAGCCGCCGAGCTGGTTTGTTGTTTTGCAGACGTTTCGTTACCATGCTGGGTAACTTCCTCAGTGCTGCACCAAGCATGTTACCAGCATGGTAACGAAACGTCTGTGAAACAACAAACCAGCTCAGCGAGCCAACCAACCTCAACACCCAAGCTACAAATCTACTCCAAAACCTTAAAGTATATCCTTGTGAGAAGGATCAATAGGGAAACCAAAGCCAGAACTCCCTGGTGATGTAGCTGATATAGAATAAGTTGAAGCAGGAAAAGTGTGTAAAGACAGATGCTAAGTTGATAATAAAAATAAGAACCTGATTGGGAATATCATTTCACATCTGAACATTCTACAATGAGAAAGGCAACGAGTGAGGAGGCGAGTAGCAACATATAAATGAATCCAAGAGTGATCTCTCGGCATATAAATACTAAAATAGTGGTGAGGGAAAGTTTGGGGATAGTTCGAGCATAGAAAGTAAAATTGAATGAAAGACCTGCATTTATTTAGCACTTTTCTTGGTCATCAGTCTTTACAGCCAGTGAAGTGGAGTAGTCCCTGTTGTAATGTAAGGAAAGGGATTGCCGCATAGAGGCAGAGAGCATGGCCAAGGTACTAGCGTAAACTTTTTATTTACCAACACCTATGTGATCAGGAGTGTGCCAGTTGATCAAATATTCTGGATAATCAACAGGTCCACAGAATCGATGTAAAAGCACATACTAAGTAATAGAAATGTATTACAGGGAGTATGCACATCACTGTTATACTTTATTTACAGCATAAATTACTCAAATAATAATGCACCTTTGCCTTAAACAAAACTTACTGGCAAAGAGGCTGCTCACTTGCACCCACAAATCAACTCAGACATTCCGGTAGATTGCGATATTTGAGCAGAAATTGACTCAATTGAATCAACTGTTGATATTTTGTGTATGTGGCCATTCAATTGAACAAGTATAATTACATCGAAGTAAATAAATTTTAAAAATCTGTAATAATTAGAATAGTAGAGTAAACTTTGCAGTATTTGACGTAGATAATTTTAGCTGGTTTATCGAGAGAGGAGGTTCATTAGGTATTAGTTAAAACAAAGGTTGCTGTAAATAAGTACTTTGCATCCATCTTTACCAGAGAATAAGATGCTGCTGAAGTTTCAGTGAAAAAGAACGTAATTGAGAGTATTGGGAATATTGATGACGAGGTATTAGAAAGGCTGATTGTACATAAAGTTTATACGTCACCAGAATTTTATGGGTTATGTATGACCATAAGGAGGGAAGTGTGGGAGGCAGTTGTGGATGTACTGATCTTCTGATTTTCCCTGGAGGTTGGGACCAGATGACTGGAGAATTTCGCATGTTACACCAGTTACAAAACTTCATATAATATATTAATAGTATTTGAGAACTTAGGTTCTAAGGTGGAGGAAGAATAGATTTTATTTTTAGTTCTGTGAAGATCAGACTTTTTTTAACAAGCTTAGATCTTGAGCATGAGTTCAAAAAGCATTTACAAGAAGTCATGTGATTTCAGCTAAATGATCAGCAAATCGCCTGGGAGACAATTGCTGGGATGTTTGAGGATTTGAGGTTTACGACCCAGAGAGACTGAGTGGGTCTGAAGCAGGTTCATACTGGAAGAAGAGATCCATAATAGTCGAAATGCTGGAACAAAAATAGAAATTACTGGAAGCTCAGCAGGTCTGGCAGCATCTGTGAAGAAAAAAATCAGAGTTAATCTTTTGGGTCCTGCGACCCTTCCTCAGACCTGATGGTAGCTGGGAAAATGTTGATTTATATGCAGCAAATAGGGAGGGGAATGGGTTATGGAGTAAATGATAGGATAGAGCCCAAAGAGAGAGAAGAGCAGTTGGGTAGACAAAGGAGATGATAACAATCTGGCTAGAAGGGTGAATAGTTGTGAATGGGGACTGTTAGTGACTAACAATGGGTAGTGTGGTAATGGCAGGCTATGTGATAACAAGGTCTGGTGTGTGGGGTAGGGGGCTAGGACATGGGAGAGTTAAGGCCCTAAAATTATTGAACTCGATATTGAGTTTGGAGGGCTGCAGGGTTCCCAAGCGGAAAATGAGTTGTTGTTCTTCCGGCTTGTGTTGAGCTTCGCTGGAACACTGCAGCAAGCCAGAGGCAGAGATGTTGGCCAGGGAACAGGGTGGTGCATTAAAGTGGCAGGCAACAGGTAGCTCAGGGTCTTTTTTGCAAGCAGAACGTAGATATTCTGTGAAGCAATCACCCAGTCTTCACTTCATTTCCTCAATATAGAGGAGACCACATTGTGAGTAGCGAATACAGTAGACTAGATTCTGGGAAGTGCGGGTGAAGTGTTGCTTCACCCGGAAGGTATGTTTGGGCCCTTGGATAGTGGGGAGGGAGGAGATAAATGGGCAGGGGAAGGTGCCATGGGGCTGTGGGGGTGTGTTGGGGATGAAGAAAGAGTGGACCAGGGTGTCCCGGAGGGAATGGTCCCTGCGGAAAGTGGACAAGGGAGGGGAGGGAAATATGTGCCTGGTGGTGGCATATCTCTGGAGGTGGCAGAAATGGCATCTGATGATCTACTGGATGTGGATGCTGATGGGATAGTAGATAAGGACAAGGGGAGCCCTATTGCTGTTGCAAGAGGGAAGAGAAGGGGTGAGGGTGGAAGTGCGGGAGATGGGTCCGACCTGGTTGAGTGCCCTGTCAACAACGGTTGAGGAAGAAGGTGGACATTTTGGAGGCTCCCTTATCAAAGTTTGCCTCATCTGAACATATGCAATGGAGGTGGAAGAACTGAGAGAACAGGATGGAGTCTTTACAGGAAGCAGGGTGTGAGGATGTATTGTCCAGGTAGCTGTAGGAGTCAGTAGATTTATAGTGGATGTTAGTGGCCAGTCTATCCCCAGAAATGGAAATGGAAATGGAGATGTCGAGGAAGGGAGGAGTCAGAGATAGACCAGGTGAAAGTGAGGGCAAGGTGGAAATTGGAAGCGAAATCGATGAACTTTTCCAATTCTGCACAAGCAAGGGAAGCAGCACCGATGATATCATCGGCATAAGTGGGGCCCATGCGGGTACCTGTGGCCACTCCTCTGACCCGAAGAAAATGAGAGGAGTTAAAAGAGAAGTTGTTGAGGGTGTGGACGAGTAGAAATGCTGTTATTAGCAGTCTCCAAGCAATCAGAGCTGTGAAATAGTTCTGAATTTCAGAAGGTTATGTCAGAGGAAGTCATCCAACTAGGACGTTGAAGATACAAGTTTAGGGAATCTTTGTAAGGAATGAGTGAGTTAAGTTAGCAGTTCATTTTATGATTTCGGGGAGAGTCGTTAACCAAAGAAAATGTGCTTTCAGTCGATGCTAGAGATTTGTCAGTAGGAAACTGATTTCAGTTATACCAGTTGAGCAAGAAGCTTTAACATGGAAATAGGGGTTAGTCTTCACTAATTCCTGTAAATGTATTGCTGAAGTCAAAGAGACAACCTTTGTTTTTGATTTTGTAATTGTTCTCATAGTTGTTGTCTCATGTATAGTTCATGCTTTTACTTACTTTTATGTCATTTTGTTAATAGTACAATGGTAGCCTCACGTGAATACGCTCAGTGACTGATCTTCATCGTAAACAAAAGAAAAAATAAAATTTCTGGTATGTCAGGCCAGGTTTTGTTCTAGAATCTGACTTGTTCACTGTTACCATCACCTGGGATTATGATACACTCTTGTTCAGGAAAGGTACAAGGATAAATTCAGCAATTTATTTAGCCTGAATGGACGGGTTGCCTTTAGAAAAGGTAATCTGTGACAGCATTAAAAGTCACTTTAGCAAGTTTGGGTTAATTAGGAAAAGTAGTTTTGGTTTGTTAAGGGCAAATTGTGTTTAATTGATTTGACTGAGCTTTATAAGGATATGAAGAGGTTAGATGAGAGTAAACACTAAACAAAAAAAACCAAAGAACTGCAGATGATGGAAATTTGAAACAAACAGAAATTGCTGGCAAAACTCAGCAGCATCTGTGGACAAAGCAGAGTTAACTTTTCGAATCCAGTGACTCTTCTTCAGAACTGATTGTCGCTAGGAAAAAATTGATATATATGCTGAAGAAGGGGTGGGGGTAAGGGGAAAGGAGCAAACGATAGGTGGAGATGGAGTCCGGAGAGGAACAGTTGGGCAGATGAAAGAATTGTTAAAGGTCTGTCTGAGAGAATGGGAATAGCTGCTAAAGGGAACTATTAGAAGCTGACAGTGGACTGTTTGTGATAGCAGTCAATGTGATGATAAGGCCTGGTGTACGGGGGTTGGAGTAAAGACATGGGAGAAGGTGCTCGGGCCGTAAAATTATTGAACTCAATATTGAGTCCAGGAGGCTGCAGAGTTTCCAAGCGGAAAATGAGGTGTTGTTCTTCCAGCTTTTGTTGAGTTTCACTGGAGCCCTGCAGCAACCCTGATACAGGTGTCGGCCAGGGAACACGCTGGTATGTTGAAATGGCAGGCAACTGGAAGCCCAGGGTCATTTTTGCAGACAGAACATAGGTGTTCTACAAAGCAATCGCCTGGTCTGCACTTTGTCTCCCCAGTGTAGAGGAAACCACATTGTGAGCAGTGAATGCATTGGTCTAGATTGAGTGAAGTGCGTCTGGTGCCATGGATAGTGAAGGGGGAGGAAGTAAACGGGCAGGTGTTACACCTTCTGTGATTGCATGGGAATGTGCAGTGGGGGTATGGGGAAATGTTGGAGGAGTGGAGGGAACGGTCCCTGTGGGAGGCTGACCAGGGAGGAGAGGAGAATATGTGCTTGGTGGTGGCATCCCACCACTGAGGTGTCACTGGACTCAAAACATTAACCCTGCTTTCTCAGTACAGATGTAGCCAGACCTCCACTATTTTTTTCCAGCAATTTCTGTTTTTGTTGTAGATGAAGATAATGCAGTTCATCTGGTATACATGACCTTCCAAAAGGCATATGATTAAATACTCCTTAATTGGCTTGACAGCAGGTTAAAGCCCATTGAGTGACACCATGGAAGACATTTGGCTGGGTGACAGAAAACAGAATAGCATTGCACAGTAGCTTTCAGGCAGGAGGAAAGTGTATAATAGAGTTCCTCCACAGGTTTGTACAAGAGCTACTAATATGTATTAGTGACTTAGACTTTGTCATATCAGATACTGTTTCAAAATTTTTAGATGATACAGACCTTGGAAATATTGTGAATAGAAACCAGATTAGTCTTAAAACTTCAAGAGGACATTGAATAGTGGAATGGTTGGATGTGGCAGATGAAATTTAGTGCACAGAAGAGAGAAGTGGTACATTTTTATAGGTGAGTATAGAGAAGTGAAATAAAAAAGAGTGCAAATATGAAGGGGCACAAAGTAAAATGACCTGGGAGTCTATGTGCACTAAAAGTTGAAAGTGGCAGGGAAGATTGAGAACATGGTTAAACATGCATACATGATCCTGAGCTTTGTGAATAGAGAATATAGTACAAAAACATGATGTTGTAATGAACTTTTATACATATGAGATTATGAATAGGCCACTCTGTTCCTGAACTGCCGCTACTGGAGTCGGAGATAACATGGTGTGAATCTGGAGGAACACAGCAGGCCAGGCAGCATCAGAGGAGTAGGAAAGTTGACGTTTTGGTTTGGGACCCTTCTTCAGTCCCTTTCCTACTCCTATGATGCTGCCTGGCCTGCTGTGTTCCTCCAGCTCCACACTGTGTTATCTAATCTATCCTTTATAACCTTTCACCCCCTTGCTTAACTAACTGCCTTAAAAATATTCAAGGACTTCTCTTCATCAAAAGGTGATGGAAGCAAGTTCTAAAGACTTGAATTAGAAAAACTTTGCTTTGGCCTCCTCTTCAGTAACTCCCATTACATATATGTTTTTCCCTTTAAGCTGAAGCTGTTATATTTTTGCTGCCCCTGGAGGATCAGTTTCTCCAGCAGTTGTTGAAGTCACAGACACTGCGTGAATGGTCAGTTGATTTATTCCCTCTATTTACAGTGCTCTGTTCACTTGACTGGTTTAGCTGCGTGTATTTTAAGTCAGTCGAAATGGTTCAAGTGCTACTGACATAGGAGTTTGATATCTAAATACATTATCTTGAAGATTTTGCATAGTTGGGTGATCAGCTTTTGTGGTTGATTGAAATGATGTAGCAGGACCTTTATCACATGTTATAGCTTTGACTGAGTGGTCTCACACAACAGAGATAACATTCCATTGGTCATTCACTTGTACAAATTGTTGGGCAACCTTACCAAACTCTATCATAAAACATTTATCATAGAGCAGTAAGGTATAGCATGGGCATTTCTCATCTGTAGTGGCCCAGGAGATGCCTCAGCATGTGTTGGGAAGTCCAGCACTGTGCTTTGATACTTTGATACAGTTTAATTTAGTTCAATTTCAGTAAATTTCCCAATACTGTTTTGCATAATCCTATTGTTTATACTTCAACTAGAGAGAAGGACTTTCAAAATTCAACAAGATCTATGAATATGAGTATCATCTGAACGGTAAGGTATGTCTTCAGATTCATAAAACTTTCTTAAAAGAACTTTAACTGAATTTCCTTATGTCTCATCCCTTTTCTCACTGTGATATGTGTTGTGAGAGGTAGGGTTTGACTGACCGCTGAAGTGCCTCAGAGTTGGTCTGACCAGACACTAGGAGGGGTTACAAGGGTGACTTGACAGGATTTGTATGTGGTGAATTACTTCAACTATTTGTACCACTCCCTTTCCAAGCTGCTGCTGATGCTATAGTTTGGTGGCCACTATGAATGTGCCACATGTAGTGAGTGTTTTACAGGTTGTACTATTATACTCCTGAAAGCCAGTTGGTGAAGGCTCAAACTTGTGACCATCTTTACGTTTATGAATGTTTCCTACAAGAGTTTAAAATCAATATTAAAGTCATGATGATAATTTCATTGTCTTTTGTAAGCAAGTAAATGAAAAAAATATTTTCTTTCATTGTCTCTGTGTAAGAGTATGGGTCAGTAAAAACTAAAATGAAAACACGAAAATGTATGTAATGTAAAGTTTACTTGAGCTTACTTGAGTTTTCCTCTTTCCCTCTCTTACCACCGTAAATGCAGAATGTTGGTATAGTGATGACCTCTGTCTCGGGTCACCTCCTTGAGTTGGAGTTCAAATCACCTTTTCAGAAGTGGTAAGTTTTTATTCAAATATGAAGTCCTGCTGAAACTCATTTAATTTCCAATCTCACTCAGCAGCGAGAGAGAGAGAGTTAACACAGCATTGGTAAATGTTTAGCCTGTTTTCATAACCCACTGATCAGATGAACATTGTGAGAGTTGTAAACTATATGCCAACCTAAACTGATCTAGTTTGAAACAATCTATAAAGGAGAAAATATAATTGGAATTTTATTTTGATCACTCAGTTTCAGAAGAACATAAGAAGCTTTCTACCCTTGTTTTAAACAAATAACAATTTTCCATAATTCAGGAAGATATCAAGAATCTGTTTGGGTGGATTTTGCTCACTGAAGCTTTTGTTTTCAATATCTGTAGGCGCAGCTGTAACCCTGTGACTCTCTTTGACGCTGAGGTGGAGAAGTACTGCCCAGAAAACTATGTGGACATTAAGGTACAATGTTATAGGAAAGCTCAGGATCACACACTGCACTCATGTTTTCTCTGTATTTAAACTATGCTATACGTGGGTTTGGAGTATTTGTTGGGATAATGGAGAGAGAGTTTTGCATTGTATCTAATATGCTGCATTTGGTATAGTAGTGTTTCATGAGAGATGTTTGAAAGAAAAAAAGTGCTTTATTCAAGCTGTATTATCACCTTTATGATCATATATGTGAATAAAAATATAAAGATTTCAAATATTGAATCTTTACATGAAAAGATGCTGTTTTGTCAAGAATTAATCACATTGTAGTTGATTTTTGGCTTCTGTTTCTTAATAGAGAACTCTGGAACGAGAGGTGAGGAAATGTCAGGCCTTGATCCTTTGGACTGACTGTGATCGCGAAGGGGAAAACATTGGATTTGAAATTATTAATGTGTGTAAAACAGGTATGTGTACATCGGTATACACAGCATTAGAAGCATGAATTGTGCCTTTCAATTACCACTGAAAGATTTTATAGAATATGTATTGATTTTTGGGCGGTGGGTGTAAAGAAGTTTTACTCCTTAGCTCAGGATCTTACACTCTCTATAAACGAGGTAGTGTTTCGAACCAGATAACATTCTGATCTCTGCCAGCTCTACCCTAAACTAACTAACACAATGAAGAATGAAGACATATTGGCAGTGTTTGAGCCTAGAAGCTCCTGACAATGGGATTGTGTGGTATAATGTTGTGGTAACGGCTGATCTATGCCAGATCTCTCTGCATTTATTTGGAAAATGACTGATGAAGCGATTTGTCTGCTGAAGTCTTAGTGGGTGCAGCATTACTTGGTGCAGCCCTGAGGGCTACAGATCAGAATGTTAGCAAATCGATGTTAGCTAGGATGGCACAGCAGTTAGTGTTAAAATGTCCCTGAGGTAATGAGAAATCAATTGCTGATTTCTGCAGGGAAGTGCTGGTAGGCTGACGTCTAGCAAAGAGTGCATGAAGCTATGATATTGTAATTTCTAGACTGTGTTGTTTTTCTTTTAAAAATGCTTGTTGTCTTGCTGGAAAACTTTGCTGCATGTTGCTCACGATCTCTTGTCTTTTCCTTGGCAGTGAAGCCGAATCTACAAGTGCTGCGAGCTCGATTTTCTGAGATTACACCCCACGCTATCAGACAAGCCTGTGAGAATCTGGTAGAACCTGATCAGAAAATTAGTGATGCTGTCGATGTGAGGCAAGAGTTGGACCTGAGAATAGGTGAGGGACCCAAAGGCCTAGAAGTCAATTTTGTTTTGTTTTTTTTTGTTCCCTTGTGAAAATAACTTGTAAACTGCACCTCACAATAACAACCCTCTCCTTTGCCCCCTGTTCGCCAATCTTCAAAAACTTTCTTCTTAACTACATCAGCAGCTTGTATGTGGAAACTTAATTTCTTTTGGTGTGGTGTTAAATATTACATATTGAATTGTGATCTGGAGAATCTCTTGTCCCCTTTTACAGGTACAGAGTTGCTTAACAATGCAGTGCACTCTGTTATACTGAGTTATCAGCATAGATTGTGCATCGGCCTATGGCATGAGGTTTGAACCAGTGTTCAATCATGGATGCTACAAGTTGAGCCAAGATGACAGTGATGCATTTGAAATTGCTTTTGAGTGCTACCGGAATTGTTTTGTGTAATTTTGTTGGTATAGGTGCCTCATTCACCCGGTTCCAGACCTTACGACTACAGAAAATATTCCCGAATGTGCTATCAAATCAACTGATCAGCTATGGAAGCTGTCAGTTTCCCACTCTGGGTTTCGTGGTTGAACGTTTCAAAGCAATCCAGGCTTTTGTTCAAGAAACATTCTATAAAATCAAAGGTATGCTGTAGCTGTTGATGTTTCTGAACCTTAGTGGAAGTGCATTTCAGCATCTCGGTAGTTATCGAGTGACAATGGTGTCAAGCTTTGGGACTTGACTCCTGTCTGCTTACGTAGTTGATGAATCCATTCATGTTCGCAGTAAAAAGTGATAGTTTGATGATGAAACATGTGGACCTTAGGATAAGTCTCTGGCTTTAAGGAAGACTCAATATTGCAAATTCCTATCAGTACAGTGCACGTGATTCTGATTTAAGGTTACTATTGAGTGTTAGTGCTATAAATTAATTGACAGTCAGATATTTCAATAATTTAAATGTAAGCTTCTGCAAAATGTTAAGCAATGAAAAGCAATGCCCAAATTACAGTATCCAAATTTTGAAAGGGTGAGTTTACTGGGTAAACATCTTTGGTGACAGGTTCATTTTTACAGAGTTCCCTTATTTTTCTGTATTGCTAATGGGCTGGCGATCACAGTCCAGGTTAGTTTTGTGAACTTTGTTTTTTATATCAAGTGTGCCAAATATTAGCAACAGTTTTTATGTCTCAGTCACCCATGAAACGGAAGATGGCAATGTAGAATTTAACTGGAAAAGACATCGTCTCTTCAACCACACAGCATGCCTTGTACTTTACCAGATCTGCATGGAGGTGAGCATATATTCCATTCTGATTAACCTAAACCCCAGAATATTTAGAAGTAGAAGTAGAAGGAGGATAGCAAACTAGAGGAAATATTTAGTGGAAAGTTGAGGGTTATAATTCACTGTAGTTTGAAGTGGGTTGTGGTGTCCCACGCATTACTGTTCTGGAACTACTTTTAGTTCAATTTGTTGATTCACAATTTGGATACAAGGGAAGGTGGTGGTATCCATGGTAATGTTACTCCACTAGTAATCCAGTACCCTAAGGCTGCATTTCTGGGGACAGAGGTTTGATTCCTGCCACAACAGAAGGTGAAATTTGAATTCAATTTTTAAGAAGTCTGGAATTACAAGCTGAAACAAAAACAGAAGTTGCTGGAAAGATCAGCAGGTCTGGCAGCATCTGTGAAGGGAATTCAGAGTTAACATTTTGGGTCCAGTGACCCTTCCCCAGATCATTAACTTTGATTTCTCTTTACAGATGCTGCTAGACTTGCTTAGCTTTTCCAGCAACCTCCATTTTTGTTTCTGATTTACAGCATTCGCACTGCTTTCCGTTTTTATTTGGAATTAAAAGCTGCCTGATGGTGGCCATGTAACACTGTCAATTGTTGTAAAACTCCATCTAGTTCATTATTGTCACTTAGGGAAGTAAATCTGCTGTCTTTATCTGGTGTGGCCTGCATGTAACTCCAGACCCGCAGCAAAGTAATGCCCACATCCCACAAAAACAAATGGGTCCAAAGGCATAGGTACCATTAATTCTTTAGAAGAACAAAGGAACTTGCAAAGGGGTATTAATGATAAGGAAGAACTGTCTAAACAGTGTTAAATGGATTTCAATGTGCATGATTATGAGAAGTTAGATTATGATCTTAAGAATACTATTGTCTATAATTCAACCTGAATAGAATAGGTTCACAGAATACTATGGACAGCTGGGGATTGATGCATCTGTGGAAGAAAAAATACGGAAATTAGTATATAAAATGCTGGAAACACAGCAGTACAGGAGACATCTGTGGAGGGAGAATAAGAGTTCATATTTTCAGTTTGATGACTTTCCGTCAGACTGGAAACAAATGTAATTCTAGATTTTACAATAGACTACTTTTGCTGCCATCACAACTGCAGAGGGCGCACTTTGGCATCTCCACAATGCAGCATTCACCTGCAATTCCACTCGTGCGTAACTATAAATCTAGATTTTCTGCTTTAGTCCAAGGAGCAGGACCTTTTTGATACAGGCAAGAATTATTGAGTGTGGATATTTTTATGTTTTATAGACACAATTTAACTAAATAAATTCTGATTTTCAAGCTGCTTAGAATTTTTGATATATTTTATTCACCTTGCCTCTCCTCTTCAGAGGCCAGTAACAAAGTTTATTAGTCTTTTGTATCAGCTCCAGTTTCAAGCCATGTTCCCTTGCATAAAATCTCAGTACTTCTGTGGATCTGAAATTTAAATCTTCAAAGATGTTTAATAAACCAATAAGTTAATTGAGCCAAATGTGGTTGACTGCTACTCAGCTTGTTCTTGTGGATTTTCTCGCAGTGAACAAAGTGATAAGCTGAATTGAGGTTTGTGAATGACAGGCAACAAACATGGATGCACAACAAATATTTCAGTGCCACCACTGTTTAAGTGTATTGGTCAGCCACACTTGGACACATAAGGTTTGAGTGTAAATACAAGAGATCTTTTTTTCTTTTAGGAGATGTTGGCATTGCTGCAAAGCTTGCACTTGCTGCCCAACCTGAATTACACTTAAACTGGATGATTTGTTAGGCCACTTCAGGGGAAAGATAAGAGCCAAACCCAGGTCAAGTGTCGCATGTAAGCCAGACTAGATAAAGTTAGTAGATTTTCATTCTTGAAGGGCATAAGTGAACCGGATGGGGTTTTTTTTTAACAGCAACAGTCGTGGTTACACACTGAGATTAGTTTTATAATCCCAGATTTATTGGTTGGATTGGAATCCATATCCTGACAGCATTAGCATGGGCCTCTGGATTACTATCCAGTGACATTACCATGACATTATCTCCCCTGAGAAGCTTATATCAACTTTAACCAGATTTCATTGTGAAGTATTAGGCTCCACTCTGCCAGCCTATTTTAATGATTTGAGACTAAAGAGATAGTATAGTGAAGATTTATTTAAATGCTGCCAGAATTACATGTTTTTTATGAGAATGATGTGGTGACTATGGAAGTGGTTAAAATTCTGAAGGAACGGGACAGTATAGGGAGAAATGTGTTGCTACCAAGAGTTGAACGGCCTAAAATGAGAGGCTATCATATAAGCTCGTTGAAAGAAAAGAAGAGAAGCACCTTCGTGTGCAGTTGTGAAGTCATAAGATTCATAGGCTGGTTGAGGCAGAAACTCTGAATAATTTGGATAGGTGCATGAAGGAAAACTGGATCAATGGAATTGGGAACTGGCTGGATAAATCCAAACTTTGAGTGAAACGATTTTGTGTGGCTGAGGTTGTGGCACTTTTGGAAGCTTATTCTGGGGAAGCCAGGAATGGCAGGGCTGAAAGTGGAACCCTTTTAAATAATAGGATTTCACTCTCGGCCCTTAGCTGTTTGCGTAAAAAGTTATTCTAGTAAATGCAAAAATTGATAATTAACTCTTCAGTTTTGTAAAGCATTAGTTTGTTTTTTTGAATGATTTCTTGATGTTTTTTGTTTGCTGATCACAGGATCCAGTTGCGACTGTACTTGATGTCTTTACTAAACCAAAGAGCAAATGGAGACCTTTATCCCTTGACACAGTGGTGTGTATTTGAAAGTAGCATAAGTTTTGTTGTAGAGAAATTGCTGCCTCGATTTTCAGCTTTATAAAATAAAAGCACGAAGTGGACCTATATCGAAATGTAGTTGCAATATGCTGCAGTGTGAGTTTCCAATGTATTCGTTTCTGTTTCTAATTTGTCCATGCTGCATGCTTACGTTCTGTGTTTTTAACATTATAATACAATGCAAACTGCTAGTTTAGCTCAAGGGATTTTTTTATGCAGTGACATACAAACTGAAAGTTCCAGCTTCAATCCCTGTTCTGTGTGAGTAAGCTGATCTCGGGTAGGCAAGTGTATTGGTGTTGGTGCTCAAAGGGTGAGATGAACTCGGACTTCTGATCACTGTCTAGGGACCTTCAGTGGAAATGGTAGGATGTTTGGCAAGATTTGGAGACGACAACCAACCAATTCAGTACCAATTCCCCAGCTCTTTTTACAGGGTGGCTTTCCTCATACGTTGACCTGGGATTCTTCTCCGCACCAGTTTTTGCAGTCTACTTCCCCCAAAGAATGAGCTCAGTTGGAAATTCGTTTATCCAAGTGTTTAAGAACCTACCCCAATTATCCGGACTTGGGTTGTGTTGTCCAATTTCTGTCCTTGAGATGCAGTTCCATTATATCAGTTTCTTGATTACATTCCTCCTGTCACAACAGATGAGATTTTCCTTTATTTTCTTCTGTTTTGTAATGCCTCCCAATACTTAGCCTTGAGGTGGGCACCTTAGACATCATGGCAGAATAGTAAGAACTGCTGATGCTGGAGTCAGAGATAACACAGTGTGGAGCTGGAGGAACACAGCAGGCCAGGCAGCATCAGACGAGCAGGAAAGCTGACGTTTCGGGTCGGGACCCTTCTTCAGAAATGGGGGAGGGGAAGGGAGCTCTGAAATAAATAGAGAGATGAGGGGTGGGCTGGGGAAGGTAGGTGGAATGGTGATAAGTGAGTGCAGGTAGCAGTGGTGGGGATTGGTCAGTGAGGTGGGAGGAGCGGATAGGTGGGAGAGAAGATGGACAGGTTGTGTCAGGTCAAGGATGTGGGGATAAGAGGGAGGGTTGGTCATGGGATGAGGCCGCATGGGCCCAAGCTATGCCTGCCTCTTCGTAGGACATGTGGAACAGTCCCTCTTCCGCAGCTAAACTGGCACTATCCCCCGCCTCTTCCTCCACTGCATCGATGACTGTATTGGCGCTGCCTTCTGCTCCCACGAGGAGCTTGAACAGTTCATCAACTTTACTAACACCTTTCACCCCAACCTCAAGTTCACCTGGACTATCTCTGATACCTCTCTCTCCCTCCTGGACCTCTCTGTCTCCATCTCTGGTAACCACCTCGAAACCGATATCTATTTCAAGCTCACTGACTTTCACAGCTACCTAGACTACAACTCCTCTCACCCACCTTCCTGCAAGCACGTGACCCCCACTCCCAATTCCTCTGCCTCCGGCACATCTGCTCCCAAGAAGGGGTGTTCCACTCGCGAACATCCCAGATGTCCTCTTATTTCAAGGACCGCAACCCCTCCCCCTCAACTACCCTTCAGCTGTCCAAAATGCTCTCGACCGTATCTCTTGTGTTACCTGCACCTCTGCTGTCACATCCCGTCGCGTCCCCTCCCTGCAACAAAAACAAAAACAGAATCCCCCTTGGCCTCGCGTATCACCCCTCTAAACTCCGGATTCAACGTATCATTCTCTGCCACTTCTGCCACCTGCAATCTGACCCCACAACCAAGGATATATTTCCATCCCCACCCCTGTCTGCCTTCCATAGAGGCCGCGCTCTCTCCGTGACTCCCTCGTCTGCTCCACACTCCCCACTAGTCCCACCACTCCGATACCTTTCCCTGCAACCACAGAAAGTGCTACACCTCCCCCCTCACCTCCATCCAAGGAACTAAAAAACCTTCCACATCAGACACATGTTCACCTGCACTTCTGCTAATGTGGTCTACTGCATCCGCTGCTCCTGATGTGGCCTCCTCTACATTGGTGAGACCAAGCGGAGGCTCGGAGACTGTTTTGCGGAGCACCTGCGCTCTGTTCACGACAAATGACAAAACCTTCCAGTCGTGAGCCACTTCAACTCCCCTTCCCACTCCTTGGATGACGTATCCTCCTCCAGTGCCACAATGAGACCACCTGGAAACTGGAAGAGCAGCACCTCATATTTAGCCTTGGGAGCCAATGGTCTCAATGTGGACTTTACTAGTTTTAAAATCTCCCCACCCCCGGCCTTCTCCCATGACCAACCCTCCCTGTCATCCCCACCTCCTTGACCTGACACAACCTGTCCATCTTCTTTGCCACCTATCTGCTCCTTCCACTTCACTGACCAATCCCCACCACTGCCTACCTGTACCCACCTATTACCATCTTTTCTGATGAAGGGTCTAGGCCCGAAACGTCAGCCTCTCTGCTCCTATGATGCTGCTTGGCCTGCTGTGTTCATCCAGCCCTGCACCTTGTTGTCTCGGATTCTCCAGCATCTGCAGTTCCTACTATCTCT